GGTCACGGGAGATGGGAGGATGAATGAGTCTGGGGGAGTCAAGGAGCAGAGGGTATGATCGACTTACCCCAGAGAGAGGCCGGAAGGTCCTCTTGTCCTAGAGTTTTTAAAATAATGGCCCAGTGTGGTAGCTCACACCTGTGATCCACGCACTTAGAAGGTCAAGGCAGGAGGATTACCATGAGTTGGAGGCTAGCCTGGGACACATAGTAAGTTCCAGGCTAGCCTCAGCTAGAGTTATGTGATTCTGTTTAAAAAAAGCTAACTAGGGGCTGCAGAGATGGCTCAGCAGTGATGAGCATGTACCCAGTGCCCATGTCCGGTGGCACAGACCATCTCTAACTCCAGCTCCAGGGGATCTGATGCCCATTTCTGCCCCCAACAGGCACTTACACTCACATGTACATACCCTCCCACCCCCACAGACATACAGAAAATCTCTTCACTTTGCAATTCAGATGTAGCACCAATGACTCCTCTTTGGCAGGACTTATAGAGATGGCACCAGTTGTGTCTGTATATGAGTGTGGTATGCCTATGTGTGCAGGAATGTGCACCTGTGCATGTGCACAGGCCAGGGGATGTCAAGTGTCCTGCTTCATCATTCTCCACCTTAATCCCTTGAGTGAGGACCTCTCAGAGAACCCTGAGTTAGGCTGGCACCCAGCAAGCCCCAGCAATCCTCCTGTCTCTGCCCCTCCATGGTGCTGGGGTTCCAGGTGTGTGGCAACACCCAGATTTTTATGTGGGTGCTGGTATTGAACTATAGTTCTCATGTTTGCACAGGAAACACTTACCCACTGGCTCATCATTCCAGCCCCCAATAACACTAGTTTTAAAAGATAAAGCTTGGGGCTGGAAAGGGCTCAGCAGTTAAGAACACTGGTTATTCTTGCAGAAGACCTGGGTCCGAATCCCAGCACCCACATGGCAGCTAACTGTCCATAACTCCAGGTCCAGAGAATCCAACGGCCTCTTCTGGGCATTACATGATATGGGTGCACTTACCTACATGCAGGCAATACACTCATACACATAAAATAAAAATAAGTAAAAGATAAGGCTTGGGATGAACAAAGGCATCCCCCCTCACCACTTCCTGGTCAGCACCAGATCAAACCTCTTTCAGCACTGTGCCTTCCCCACCGTGATGCACTGTATTCCTCTGAACTGGGAGCCCAAATAAACCCTCCCTGAATTGACCTCCCCCCCGCCCCCGAATTACTTTTTGTTAGCTATTTGGTCACGGTGATGAGGAAAGCAGTGAATTCAGAACTTATCAGCAGGGGCATTGACTGCAATTCCATCACAAACCCCACATGCTGGCCGTGGAGCCGGTTTGCTCTAGGTTTGCTTTTGTCTCCATCTTTCCCTGCTATAGTCTCGTTCTCCTTTGGAACGGTAATGTTGACTCTGTTATTATACATTGGAAGCATAGAACTAAAAATCTTTGTGTACATGCATGCTTGTGAATGTGGGTGTGCATGGACCACAGCACACGTGTAGAGGGAGAAGACAGTCCTCAGTGTCTCACCCTCCACCTCATTTGAGGCAGGACCTCTTGTTACTCACTGCTGTGTATGCCAGGCTGGCTGGCCCAAGCTTCCAGGGATCCTCCTGCCTCCACCTTCCATCTTGCCTTAGGAGCCATGGGATTACAGGTGCATGCTACGCACATATCTCTGGCTTCTATGGATCCAAACTTAGGTCTCCCTAGCCCATGTTATTTTTTTAAATTTATAGGTGCTCATAGTTATGGCTGGGTATGGTGGCATACACCTTTAATCCCAGCACTCAGGAGACAGAGGCAGGCAGAATTCTGTGAGATTGTCTATACAGTAAGTTCCAGGTGAGCTGTGGGTACAGGGAGACCTTATCTTAAAGTGAATGCCTTGGATTTTAGAAGAGAATGAACTAATAAGACACCAGAGGTTCTTAACAGATGGAAAAAATGCATTTTCAGTATGGAAAAATATAAAAATTACCAAGTGATGATGAAAGCATGTATTCACAGCACTTGGGCTGAAGCAAGGGGACTGTAATTCAAGACCAGCCTGGGCTACATAATCCAAGACTCTCATCTCAAAAATTAAACAAAAAGGGCTGAGGTATAGCTCCATGGCAGAGCATTTGCCTAGCATGTGGCAGGCCCTTGGTTCCATCTCCATACACAACCCAGTAACCATGTTAAAAAACAAACAAGGCCAGACACTGTAACATGCTTACACCAGTGCTAGGGAGGATGAGACAGGAGGCTCTAGTCAAGCTGAATTGGTGAGTTCCAGATTCTGAAAGAGACCCTTGTCTCAAAAAACAAGGTGGAGCCAGGTGTGGTGGTGCACAACTTCAATCTCAGCACTCAAGAAGCAGAAGTAGGCAGACTTCTGAGACTGAGGCCAGCCTGGTCTACAAAGGAGAGCCAGACCACCTGGGGCTATAGGGAGATACTGTCTCAAACTTTGAAAAAGGTGGAGTCATTAAGGAAGATACTCGACATTGACCTCTGGCCTCCACATACATGTGCACCCCCCCACACACATACACAATCGCATGTGCAGACCCATAAATTGGTTTTCTGGTGCCCCCACTGGGATCCAAGTGTCACAGTTCATGCCTAATCTAGATTAGCATTTCTGAGAGAAGAAAGGCAAACTAAACCCACAACTCATTACCACAGAGCTTAGGTGCCAAGGATGTGCTGGCTTTTAGGTCCCAAAGAATGGTGTCTCATTGCAGTTTGCACATGGAAATCATTTTCTGACCTGTCCTGTAAGAATGCTATTTCCATTTGGAAATCATTTTCTAGGCTGTTTCCAAGTTTTCCAAATGGAGGATTTTAGTGGGTTTTAAGCTTCTCTATTGAAGCACTAAATGCAAATTGGATCAATGTTGAAACACTTTTTGAAGTTAAAGAGGTTATTAAAACTCTATCAACGCTTTTAACTAGAAAATGCTAAACCATGGCTTTAAAATGTTTTTTTATTGTTTTTTATATCAAAAAGTTTTTTTTTACTTTTAGCTAATAGTCATTTAAATAAATACGGTTAACTTACCCATTATATTTAATGTGTACTTATAATGTACAAAAGGAGGAAATATTGGTACAATTTACAAGTAAATTTTTTGAGACAGGGTGCTACTATATAGCCCAGGCTAGCCTCAAACTTGTGGTCCTCCTGCCTTGGCTTTCTCGGTGCTGGTATTATAAGCATGTGCCACCACACCTGGGTTTATAAGGAAAAAAACTTATAAAGATCTCCAAACTTCTGGACTGACATGACTCTAAGACTGTCCCAGTTACCATGGCAATACAACATATCCCTCTAAATTCGGTAGTATTTGAAAACAAACAAACAAACAAACAAAAAAACTCTTATGCTCAAGGATTCTGTGGTCAGGAACTTGGAAAAGATGAGCACAGAAAAGATGGCTCATCCCCACTCCCTGGGCCTTAGCTGGGGAAACTTAGGAGCTAAGGGCTGGGATCATCTGACTCCTGTCTAGACGATGTCTGGCAGCCAATGCTGGATACTGGCCAGAACCTCTGAGAGGGCTGTTGGCTGAAGCACCTACCTGTGCATGGCCTGGCCATGTGGCTGCTTGGGCTTTCTCACAGCAAGGTGTCTAGATTCTAAAACTGCCCAGCTCAAGAAGTAGGAAGTAGGAACTGCCTGTGTCCTTAAAATCTGAGCCCATAAACTGGCCCAGCATCATTTCTACCATGTTCTATTAGCTGAGAAGTCAGAGCTCACATTCAAAGGGAAGACGAAGACTCTCCCAATAAAGAGTATCAAAGAATTGGGGTTGGGGCATGTTGTGACACATCTGTAGATTCCAAGGCTGGGGCTCAATCCACCACACTGTGTTGTCTGCCTGTCCATACTTACAAAGTCTACAAGTTTCTCTTTTGGTTTCTGAAGTGCCCTTTCTTGGCTGGTAGATACCTCAGGGATCTTTCCCCTTCTGGATTCTTCTACCTTGTATTTCCTCCATATTTTCACCTCAGTGTTCCACTGCTTCCAGATCCCATGGGGACTCCTCTCCCTAAGTCTGGTCCACCTGGACACAGGCCTAGATCTCTGGATCAGCTTCCCCCTGGGGCAATGCCAGGTTGCCTTCCAAGAAGAGACTCACACCCCAACCTCTTATCTAGGAAGAGGAAAAAGAGGGCCAGGAATAGCAAGGTGTAGGTAGGAAATGGTTCTGGCCTAGTAGACAGAGAGAGGTTGAAGGCCTCCTTAAACCACAGAAGAAAGTAGTGACAGCAGAAAGCTACCCAGCTGTCTTCATGCTTGTCATGGCCTGTCAGTGGGGATAGTGCAGAGGTCCTGTGTTCTTGCAAAAAGCAGAACTAACAAGCCCAAGTTTCCAGGAGGTAGGTCTCCCGAGGCAATCTTTTGGCAATGTAGGTATATGATGATGATGATAACAGACCAGAGATAACTGTCAGAGGACACTAATGCAGGATTTGTGAGGAAATGGCTAAGGGTGGATGAAGGCATTTTGCTCCAGGAATCAGATTTGGGATTGGTCATGTACAATGACTTCTGTATTTTCCTACCTCTCAGCTACTGGGAAGTCTGAAAATAACCAAATCTTTGGGATGAGGTTTGGATGAAACTACCCTGGGAAGCACCACTGGGTGACAGTTACCAACCCATGTGGTCTGGCCTGAGTAGGTGGGACAGGCAGTTTCAAGAAGTTCCCCACCCTACTTGCCTATCAATGCCATCTCTTCTCACTTTTGGCTATACCATCACCATCAGTGCAAGCTTTCAGAAATGGCTAAGGTCTGCCCCACCCATTTCTCACTGACCCATGCATTCTTGAAAATGCATACACAAAATATCTGAGGACACAGGGCACTTAAACAGGGAGTCATGGTGCCCGGAAGCCAAAGAACCTGATTTCCATCAGCATGACAATCTCAAGCCACACCTGGGAACCAGCTGATTCAAATATTTATTGAGCCTGTCACCTAAGGCTTGGAAATATTTGGGGAATATGTCCCAGATAGGAAGCCAAGGGCTTACTCAAGCAGGTAGTGCTCTTTTTCAGTGCTGAGGTAAAGCCCCCTACCCGACTCTAAACACTGAAAACAGAAGAGGTGCAGAGATATAGTGTATTGGGGACAACAGGCCTCTCATGGCTTCCCTACCCCCACCATCAGAAAGAAAGGGAGATAGAAAAACAAGGCAATCTCTCTTTCCCCTCAAAGCCCAGGGCTGGGCCTCAAAGGAAAGCTTCCTTTCACTCCTTCCTTCTATTCATGCATGGCCTTGAAGTGGGGAATGAAGAAGTAGAGGGGCCCAGAGTCCGGTCAGAAATCCTGCAACAAGGAAAACAGAAAATATGGAGTTGTGGCAACAGACAAAATGGTAAACAGAAGCCTGCCTGTCCTGAGGTGACCATTCTAATTCTCCCACCTAAAGCTCTGAAGATCACCAACAACTACCCACAGGCTCTGACCTTTCTATCTACTGGATGGATAGACTGCTGCCCACCAGCATTTCCAAGGACACACACCCTGGCTCTGGGCACACATACCTCGATGTTCAGCTCTGTAGTATCTAAGAGGTCCAGCCCATGCTCACTGGGGGAAGAAGGGATATGAAGTACCTAGAGAGAACAGAGTCAAAAGAGAAAGGAGGGCTGGAGAGATGGTTCAGCAGCTAAGAGCACTGGCTGCTCTTGCAGAGAACCCAGGTTCAGTTCCCAGCACCCACATGGCAGCTAACAACCATCTGTAACTCCAGTCCAGGGGATCTGACATGTCTTCTGGCCTCCACAGGCATTGCATGACATGGGTGTACTTATTTACATGCAGGCAAAACACTCATATGCATTAAAAAAAATCAATCAAGTAGGCAATCAAAGTTAGAAAGGTCTTTCCATCTCTCTCCACCATCAATAGTAACATGATTCTTGGGGCTGGAGAGATGGCTCAGCAGTGAAGAGCACTTGTTGCTCTTGCAGAAAACTCAGGCTCAGTAAGAACCCAGGCTCAATTCCTAGCACCCACACTGGGCAGCTCACAACAACCTATAACTCCAGTTCCAGGGACTCTAATGCTCTCTTCTGGGCTCTTTGGGCACCTGCGCATATGTGGTGTACATAAAGTCAGACACATGCTTATAAAATAAGTCTTTAAAATTAAAAAAAGAAACGCAGCTCCTTTCGCAGTCTCGTAGGAACAAGTGCAATTTACTGCACGTCCACAGGCGTGACACTTCTCTTGGCCTGCTGGCTGAGCCTTTTAAATGCATTCATCTTTGGAACCAGAGGATGGGATGACCCAAGCACTCAAGGATGTTATCTGAACAAAGGTATGAAGGCATGTTTGTATTTTTCCTGAGAACAGGCCTTCATTCTCCTGTTCTAGTCATTCTTTCCCCTCCCCAGAAGGGAAAAGCTAGAAGATATGTAGCTTAGTGTGAACTGAAGGCCTGCAGCCTCCTCCCTCCTCCTGCCCCAATACGTAAGCTGGAATACTAACCCTCATTGTAAAGTTGAGGAAGCAGGCTAAAATGAGGCAACAGCTAACTTCATGTGGAACTGAGGACTCACACTCAGTCATCACTTCAGTTGAGGTGACCTCAGTTCCCTGCTTTGCCTACTCTACCAGAGCATCCTCCTGGGAAAGCAGGCAGGGAGGGCAGACAAAGGAGTGAGTGGAAGGGCAGGGATGGGCAGAATTGTCAGGAAAGAGGAAAAAAGGTACAGCATGGCTGACGGGGCTGCACTAAGTGGAGTGCCTTCTGTTCCTGACTCTAGGCAGTTCTATTTGTTAGGAGGCTCAGTGGGAACAATAGTTACATGCAGACTACAAAGGAATGCATTATTCTTTTTTCTCTCCTTTTTTTTTTTTTTTGAGACAGGGTCTCCCTATAGTTCCAGCTAGCCTAGAACTTGCTATGTAGGCTAGGCTGGCCTCAATCTCACAGAGATTTATCTGCCTGCCTCTGTCTCCCAAGTGCTGGGATTAAAGGCATGCTCCACCATGCCTGGCCCCTTTCCCCTCAACCTCTTTTTATGTTGTTGTTGTTTTTGGTTTTTTTTGAGACAGGGTCTCCTTATAGCCTAGCTGGCCTGGAACTCACTATGTAGACCAGGTTGGCCTCAAACTCAAAGATCTGCCTGCCTTTGATGGGATTAAAGGTGTGTGCTGCCACACCCGCATTCCTCTTTTTTAAAACACATGTGGAAGTCAGAGGATAATCTTCAGGAGTTGTTCCTCTCCTTCCACCATGTGAGTTCCAGGGATTAAATGCAGGCCTCCGGGCTTGGTGGAAGGGGCCTTTACCTGCCAAGCCATCTTTCTGGTGGCCTCTTCTTTTGTAATTTAAATTTCTTGTCCTTTCAGTATTTTGAAGCAGGGTCTCACTGTGTAGCCCAAGCTGGCTTAGAATTCACTATAATCACAGACTGGCATTAAACTCACAGCAATCCTCTTGCCTCAATCTCCCAAATCCTGAGATTACAAGTGTGAATTACCACCTCTGGCTCTGTATTTCTTTAACAAAAGTAAAGTCCATCCAAACTAAATCCACAACCTCTCCTCCTTCTGTCTATGATTCTTTCCAAAACCCTTAAGAAGATTTTAGAAACAAGGGCATCATCAAGACAGAGAAGGTCTGCCAGCCTGTAGTTCTAAGAGAGGGGAATGCTGAGTCCACATACCTTGTCTCTACTTTGCCATTCACATGACTGATCCAGAAGTTGTAGCTCTTCTTCCCCATCTTCTTCCATAAGGCTGAGTCTGCAGTAGTGGCAAAGAGCAGGGATTTTCAATTGGTTCTTTCAGGCCTCCTGAGTGTCTCAGAGGCACAGAGGAAGAAGGACTCCCAGTAGGTAGAGTAGGAAGTGTGGCTTTAGTAGTGTGCCACTCCTGCATCTGTGGGCACAGCACTTTATACATTGGAAAGCCATGCTATGCTGGAAGTGGCATGGAACTAAGACAATCCAAAAAGCACTTGCGGAGCAGCACTAAGATGAGATGCCAGAGTGGGTGACAGCAGCATGGGAAACCTCACCTGGTTAGTTGATTGCCAAGACCAGAGCCTGAAGGGTCACATCTGATTGGGAAATACTGTGTACTGGACATCTTCAACCTCTGGGTGCCTGAGAAATGCTGGCTGTTGAGAACAAAGCAGGATCAGTGAAACGGTTTGATAAAGCAAAGGGTAAAAAGAACAAGTCAGGGTGGCCAGTGTTTAAAGAACAGGGGCTGGAGATGGCTCAATGATCAAGAGCACTATCTACTCTTGCAGAGGACCAGGGTTCAATTCCCAGCACCTACATAGCAGTTAACAACTGTCTGTAACTCTAGTTCCAGGGGATCTGACACCCTTTCTGATCCCTGTGGGCACTGTATGACATGAGTGCACTTACATACATGCAAGCAATATATTCATACACATAAAAAATAAAAATAAGAAAAGCTGGGCGTGGTGGCACACGCCTTTAATCCCAGCACTTGGGAGGCAGAGGCAGGTCGGTCTTTGTGAGTTCAAGGCCAGCCTGGTCTACATAGTGAGTTCCAGGTCAGTTGGGGCTACAAGGAGACCCTGTCTCAAAAAAAGACCAAAAAAATAAATAATAAAAATAAATAAAAATAAGGGGCTGGAGAGATGGTTCAGAGGTTAAGAGCACTGGCTATTCTTACAGTGGACCACAGTTCGATTCCCAGCAACCACATGGCAGCTAACAACTGTATGTAATTCCAGTTCCAGGGGATCTGACGCCCTCTTCTGACCCCCTCGAACATTGCATAGCATGGGTGCACTTACATATATGCAAGCAATACATTCATACACATAAAACAGAAATAAATGTAAAAAAATCAAATTAAAAAAAGAGAAAAGAATAGCACAGAGCGTGGGGAGAGATATTTTACGGCTATAAAGAGGAAACACAGAAGAAGCACCCAAAGATGAGGGTATGCTGCAGGGGAAGAAACAGAAACACCAAGCAGGGGGTCACTCTCCCCTGGGCCATACCAGGTCAGCCCCAGTTCTGAGTCACTTTCTTGCCTCTTGCCCACTGGCCCCAGGGACTGCCTGTTCTTCACCGCTGTGGAGGTGAGGGTAGGTGTGGGTGGTCTGCTGTTCAGCTGAAGGCTTTCCTCCTGGGAGGATGCTTCCTCTTCCTGAGGCCTGCTGGGGCCTGCAAGGAAGCAGATACAGTTATCAAATAGACCAGGGACCTGGTTTTCAAAATTTGCCCAGGGTTTCTTAAGAGAAAATTAAGTAGAAAAGAATGGTCTCATTCTGTTCTGCCTTTAAAAAAAAGTGTGTGGGGGGGACAGAATCCTGCATACTGAATGTATCTGTGTGCTACATTGTACTGCTGGAGGATTTGTAGGCTGATCTTGTCTTACGAAAACCTACCTCAGAGCCTTGAAAACAAGATGGAAAGAGACACATACATCCACTTCACGGATAAGCAGCAACATTTAATAATGAATGTGGGAGACACTGCTTCTCTAAGACTGAACAGTCTTTTAGGCAATGTAGATATCTGAGATTCTACCCATTCCAGATTAAGATGGCAACAGTTTGGGGATCAGAGTTTAGAATGGATGTATACAAGCCAGAGAGACACAGAGTCTTCTGAAAGTCAGAAGATAAAAGAATGACAACGCTAGTATCATCTTGCCAAGGAGCTGAGGAGAGAGCTCTCTCTGCTGACTGAGAGGGCAAAGAAGGAAGATGCTGCCAACTGAGGCGTCTTTACCTGAGGATCTCTTTCCCTGAGAAAACCCAGGGATGCTATTTTAAGTCAACAGTCAAATATATATTACCATTTGTCAGTGGTAAACATTCACACCTGTTAACCCTCTTCCTATTTCATGACCATGTTTGTACACTGAACAACAACCTACAGATTGCTGCCATTGACTTCTATGAAGGGCTACAGACAACAGGGGTGAGGTGCACTCATGAGTAAATCTTTGTGACCTCGGATTAGTCAATGGTTCCGAACGATACAACACAAAACACAAGTAACAAGAAAAAAATTTGGTATGTTGGAATTCATCAAAATTAAGAACAGCAACAACAACACAAAAAGGCAACCCATAGAATGTGAAACTTTTGCACGATAAAGATCAATCTAGCATATGTATAGAACTATGAACAGCTCAACAATAAAAAGACAACTCAATTTTAAAACGAGTAAAAGCAGTTGGGCATATTGTCACATGCCTATTATCATAGCACTTGTAGAGGTAGAAGAATTGGAAGTTCAAGGTCATCCTCTGCTATATAATGAGTTCAAGTTCAGCCTGGGCTACATGAGACCTTGTCTCAAAAATAAGTAAGTAAATAAATAAGCAAGCAAGCAAATGATTTTAATTAACAATTCACCAAAGAAAATCAATTGTCAACCAAAAACATGAAAAATGAAAACTCAATTTCATTAGTCAGGAGGAAAATACAATCTTTGGTTTTACTGTTAGTTCCTATGTGATTTTTCAGAGGTTTGCTACTTTTAATTGGCTAGCTAAATGAAGAAGAAAATGAGTGGTAGTGGGTGCCTGATGAAATATTTGATGTATGCAAGTTTGAAGGAAACCATCCCCTGTTCAGCCCAAGCAAAGGCAAAAGCAAAGAGTTGAGCACACTGACACATACCCCACCCTGGCCCCTACCTTCAAGGCGCCTCTTCTTAGAGTTGGGGTGGCCCTGAGGACTGGCCTCTGCTGGAGTCTCTAGAGGGTTGAGGGAGTGGCAGTAAGTGATGACTGGACCCCAGGAATGGCTGGGTGCCTGGGAGACACGGTGCTTCAGATATCTTTCCAGGTAAGAGAGTCTGGGGAAAAGGTGGCACTGAGAATGAGAATGAGACATCCAGCGAACCTTCCCCAGGCCCTTTTGTAATCCACACTTCTACTCAACCACCAACTTACAGCAGTTGTTTGTCCTGATGAAAGAGGCGAGGGGAGAACTCTGAAAGGAGCTCCAGGAATGCCAGATTAGGGGGCTCACCAGAGGAGCCAGCAGGAGGAAGCTCAGACAAGGAGAACTTGATGCCTTCCCTTGATTGGGCACAATTATTTCAGGCAGAGTCTGAGATACACTGTCCAAGTATATCATTTCCCCTACTCTTGCTGCCCTGGCCACACCTGCCACCAGCCTGCCTGCTGCTCCTGCACATGCTCACCCCCCTCAGCAGGCCCTTGTTCCCCGCCCTTCCTGTGCCTGGCCCCCAACCAACACATCCTCACTTATGCAGCATGACCACAAGGTCTCGATTCTGCAGCTGCTGGGGTCCAAAGCTCAAGGCAAACCTCCGGGCCAGGTCCCTCATTTCAATGAAGGCCGGCAGTTCCGTCAGGCCCTGGGGTCCCTGCTCCTGCATCAGCTCTGTGTATAGCTGTGTCCAAGAGACAAGGCATGGAAAAGACGACAAAAGAAATCTAGAAAAACAGCACTTTCTCCTCAAACTCCACAGGGCTTGAGGCATGGGATGCCGTCTACTATCTTTCTTCCCAAGACACTACCCCATCTCTCAGCCCTGCAGCAGAGCACCATAAGCCTCACAAGACAGGCTAGCAATCTACCACTGAGCTCCATCTCCAGCCCTCCAGCCACGCTCTGTAGTAATAAATAAAATGTCTGTGATGGGGCTGGTCAGATGGCTCAGCGGGTAAAGGTGCTTGCCACCAAGCCTGATGACCTGAGTTTGGTCCCCAGAACCCATGTGGTAGAAGAACCACCTTGAAAGCTGTCCTCTGCTCACCATGCATGTGTTCCCTAACCCCCAATAAATACAAAATAAATAAATGTAAATTTTTTTAAAAGTCTGTGATAACTGAAGGAGGCTGTAAGAAAGCAGACTAAAAAGTAGTTACGAATTCCCCACTACTTCAGTGTTGGTGCTAGGAGCTGATTTCTATGGGGCTCGGGAAGAGGGATCTGCCTGGTCAGTTAGATTAAGGGTCGATGAGGGTGAAGAAACCTGTCACAGGAAATGAAAGTCCAGAAAGTTTCTGTCCTTAAGGATCTCTAAGAGGCTGGACAACAAGGTGGGGATCTAGAGGGAATATGTTATATAGTTGTGAGGCTTCTGGGCAGGAGTACCTGTTTGAGGCTCAGCAGAAGGATCCGAGAGCACTGACTTCGGTCAATCTGCCTTGTTCGAGTTAATGTTTCCTTGATAATGTCACCATAGTCCTCATAGAACTAGGAAGAGGAAATAAGGTAGCGGTAACCATATGAGAAAGCTTACTCTTTGGTTTCTTCCTTCCCATCCCTAATCACGCTTCCTTCCCAAATAGCCTTAGGTAGAAAAGCATTAAGTATAAACAATTCAGACTAAACTTCATCTCTAAGTGCAGTGTCTAAAAAAACAGACTTTTAAAAAATAAGGGTAGAAACTTCGTGAGCCCAGCTATTGGAGATAAAGAGTGAGCCCTCTCCCAAGCAGAACAAAGCTCTATAGGAGCTTCCCTATGTTGTTCATTGCCATGTCCTGGCAGGCCTGGTGCACAGAAGCTGCTTAAAACCCACAAATCAATACAATGACTTGTGGCTGGGGAGATGGAGCTAGCTAGCTATACATAAGCAACCCCCCCACCCCCCTTTTCTTCTTGTATTACCCCATCCCTGTAGACTATCTAGATTTAGAGGGGGAAAAGTTCCTGAATTAGAAACCTAAGGTACTTCCTCTCCAAGGAAAGTCTCAATAGCCTTTTCTCCTTGTTTACTATTAAGACTCCTTTGTCTCTTTATTCTAGACTCTACTGCTATTCTCACCTACTTCTCTCCTAAAGCCTAACCCCCTCAGACTGCCCTCAACCCCTGCTTTCCTTTCTTAGATAATGCAGTTTGAAGCCAGGGCTATACTCAAATTGGTCCCCCTGTACCTTGTTGTAGTGTTTGAAAACATCTGAAGCTGCATTGAGCTCCAGCACCCCATAGAGCAGCAGCTTGCAGAACCCTGCCAGGAGGCGGCGCCGCTGGTGCAACTGCTCTATCTGGACATGATCCTCTTGGGAACGACCTGCCCAGCAAAGACAGAACCAGCCATAGGCTTAGACCTCTGGTCTGAAATATTGAAGCCAGGCTCAGCCCCAAACCCTCCTGAGCCTACAGTCCCTGTACCATTGCCCAGTTCTCCAGGCTGGAAAAAGACGTGGTCCATGAGGAAGCTGGCTAGTTCGGACTGGAGAGTAGCTTCAGGAAAAAGGACAAGGGGCCTAAGGTAATTCCGTCCCCCTACAATCATCTGAGGACTGAAGATAAGAAGCAGATCGCTTAATAAAATAAAAGCCTGTTGGGGGACAAAAAAGGGTGATTTAAGAAAAAAAACCCGCAATACTTACCAAGACTCAGTTACACAGCTCATTTCCCTATAGAACAGGGTGTCCTCAGATTACAGGACACTCTCCCAATGACCCCCACTTGCATGAATACTCACCTGCTCCTGAATCTCTGGATCAACATCTGAGAGGCAGCTCTGGCAGAGTTCACAGAAGGCCACCGTTCTGCCCTTCAGACTCATCAGCTGCTTCTGTGAAGAGGGTGTCTTGCAGTGAGGAATGAAAGCTCAGGCTCCCATTCTTGTTCCCTTCCTCAGACCCATACTCACTTGAGAAGCAGTAGACTCAGAAATGTGGGTTAGTGTCCAGAGAATGGAAAAATAGACAAGAGTCAAGGCTGGCAGAATCACCTGTAATCATGAAACACTATTAAAATGATGTTTGGTCTCCAGGCAGATGGCTACAGAGAAAGAGGATAGAGTACACACACGTTCTCTCTTTCTCTCTCCCTCCCCCCACCCCCGACCCTACCTAACCTTTCTTATGCCTGGGACTGGGACTGCCAGGGCAAGGTGGTCTCCAAAACACAGATCCTGAAGATCTCTTCCCTGCCTCTGTATCTCTATCCCATCTACCTGCCTGATGAGGAACCTCTCCTGTGTCCACAGCCTTCTGAAGGAGTCGGTAGCATGGTTCAGCAATCTCCCAGCGAGTCAGGTCATGAGCACTATGGGGAGAGAGAGTGAAATATTATGCTGGCCAAAACCAAGGTACTTGACTCCAATGACACCAGGTGAATGGGAAGGGGGCAGGAGGGGGCTACTCACTTGTAGAAGGCAGAGAGGCGCTTCAGAGTGGTAGTCAGACTGTATACTTCATCCTCATCTAAGGATGACTGAGGAAGAAAGAAGGCCCATAGCAGGAGTTTCCCATTAGTCCTGGCCTCTCTCACTATCCCTGGGGTGTACTGCTGTTTAGCACCAGTTCCTACCTGCATCAGTTCATCCAGCCCCTGCTGAAAGCGGTCTGTCAGAAGATCCACTAGTTGACTGCGGGCAAAGTCCACCCGGCTAAAGAAGGTGAACTCTGGCTTACAGAGCAGATAGAGGGCTTGGGCTCCGGCCTCAAGCACCTCAGGCTCCACATGCTTCACCACCACCTCCTGGAGTTGCTGCAGGAGCAGTTCCAGGTGCTAATAGGGGGAGAATGTTTGGAGGGATATATGCTGAAGAGATGAGACAGGGCTGAAAGTAGTGGCATTTAAGGATAACATACGCCCCCCCCCCGCTCCCGAAAAGATTTATAGATTCTTCTGGAATCCAGAACTTTATAAAAAAAAACAAACACATATGCTGGCATTCCTTTCTCATGTCCTGGTAGGGAACAGTGAGGTCTAGGAAATAGGTCTTACTGCCTCCTTACCTTTTCCAAGCGCCGAGTACAGTAAATGCTGAGGTCAAGGTAACTGAGCAACTGGAGTAGAGGAGCAACATTCTCTGCATCTGCTGAGAACTGCAGTGATGGAAAAACGTCTTGTCCCTTACCAAAAAGTAGCAAGTCCTTCCTACCTCCTGTCTTGGCTGGTCCCTCATCCCATCATGCCCAGGGCTAGATCGGAGGTTCTACCTTGGCCACGAGCTGGGGCAGCAGGGGAATGAGGTGCTCGGCTAGTTTCACCCTGTCATTGGCTTGGAGCTTGCGTTCTTTGGCGGTCATGCCCTGGAATTAGTCATTGAGGGTGGGAAAGTGTGGAGAAACACTAGGTCCAGAGGGTAGAGTATCTGTGTACACCTCCTCTCCATGACCACCTCTGAGGAGAAAGAATTCAGGTATCTTTTTTCTAGAGATGGGGTTCTTTGAAGGGCACAAAGAGGGCCCTAAACCAGGGCCTAGGAGGTGAAGATGCAGTGTCCATCTAGCTTCAGTATTGCTGACCTAATAACACGCCTTTCCTGCCCACCTTCTTCCCAGTGATGCGTCCCACTGGCGGGTGACCCTCTGCAGCTTGCCGGGCACTGGACACAAGGATTTCTATCAGCATTCTCTCCTGCATATCACCCAGGTCTGGAATGAATTGAAGATCAAAAATAGAATCACAGATTGGCCACCATCCATCTCCAAATTCCATCCCCCAGGACACTTCTCCTCTTTCCAAGTCAGGAAAAAAAAATCTCCCAGTTTCACACTAGAAGGTTCAAGATGCCCATCTCCATCTACCATGTGGCACGCACTCTGGTCCTTCTGCAGCAGCAGGCTTGTCAGACTCTCCCAGTCCTTCAGGTAAGACCCTGCACAATCCCACAGGCTGTCTACTAAGTAAGCAGCATGGTTGTGATGCTGTGGAAGGAAGTTCTGAGTGAGTTACTCGCAGATGCCACATGAAACTGCTCCAGCAAGTGGCTGTTGATAAGCAAGGCCCTCCTACCCACTGCCGATCTTGTCCTTCTCTACCTGTGGGTTTCACATAGGATATCCCCTTTCCCATGTCACCTCACTCTCCATAAAGAAGGCCAGAAGAAGATAGATGAAAGTCCTCTGGGCTTGTGGACTCCGGTGTCGTTCTGTGCCACCCACTGTTTTTGCTTCACACTCGGGGTAGAAGATCCTGGCAGAAAATACACATGGGAAGAGCAGAGCTTGGGAGGACGTGAGAACAAAGGGAGAAGAGGTAGAGAGCCAAGGAAAGTCCACAGGATTGAGAAAAGAAAGTGGATACCAAGAGAAATTTAATGGGTATAGTCAGTCCCTAGGCAGAGCAGCAGGGGATCTGAGAGAACATAAGATGGTGTGACAAATCATGAGGTGCCCCACTCACTTCCAATACACAAACTCCCCTGCAGCAGAGGCCATTGCACGGTTAGAAATGTATACGATGGAGTAGATTTTCTCACAGTCTGCATTAGTCAGCACTCCCTCCATGTTCCTGCCAAGAGAAAAGGAGTCTGCAGTTGTGTCTATCCTTTCACACAGCCAAGGCTAGAACAAAACAAGGCAAGGACGAGGGCATGACTCCCAGAGAACTTTTCAGTGAGGAGTGGGAGACAGAGGTGTATGAAGAGATAAGAGAAAACAGTAAAGTTCCCCTTGACCCTACAGCTCAGGAATGTCCTCTGCTTCTAACCTGCACATAAGAGTCAATCTGTGGCAGGCAGGGACAGGACTCTGAAGAGGCCTGGCTGATGCTACAAAGGCAAGTTTGAGAAGTTTTGCCTCCCTATTTCCCATGACTCACTTCAGAATAAGAATCAGCAACCTGATGGCCTCCACTGCCACATCATACTCTCTGTCCATGACCATGGAAACAATCCGGTCCTGCAGGAAGAAGAACATCACCCAGTATCTCACTGCACCCATTCCAAAACATCACAGTCCCTTAGAATCTGAGATCTACAGAGAGGAAGCAGGAACTGTAGACAGAATAGCTATCAATATGCCAAAGAAACAAGGTGGAGAGACCTGAGGTGGGGAAATAGGAACCATAAAAAAGAGCCGAGCCTGGAAGTAATGTCCTTGCCTTACCTTGAAGCGGTTGGTAAAGAGCTCCAGGCGTGTGCTCAGCTCCTGGTTGCTGTATAGCCCTTCCAGAGCCTTTAGGCACTTTAGGCGGACTTCCTTGTGCTGTTGAGGAAGGAGACAGGAGAAAGGAATCACGGCCAATCACTGATCCCCACTGAGCCTCCATGTGCCCCTAATAGTTCCTCATTCTGGGCATAGGTGATCTTCACACTGAGGACTTGGGATGTAAGAAACAGCAAAGAGCTGTCTTCTCAGTGAAAGCACAAAAGGCTCACAGGACTGGATAATCATAATGAAAAGGATCTTGGCTAGCACTCTAGCATGTATGCTACTGTCAGCAACTTGTTTCCTTCTTTATAGGTAATGTCTTCCTCCCTGACTTATAAAGCTCAAAGGTATTCTGTCTCCAGAATGTTTTCTCCCAGAATGTGCCTATTCCCTTCATTTTTCCTAACCACAGAAGTGAGGCAATCTCAAGGTTCAGTGCTTCAATGGGGAGACGTGCTCACTAAGTGAAATTCTTGAGTGGCAGGCAGACCAGAAAAAGGTGAAGTGCCCTGGGGCAGGAAAGAAGGTAAGGAGGACAGGGAGAGTGAGACTGACTTGACTCCCACCTTATCATGAAGGGTCCAGCCGATGTATTTTAAATAGCTGTCATTAAGAAAAGACACACAGTAGTTTTGCATCCAACACCCAAGCTCCTCGATGCAGATGCCACGGATCTCAGGGAGGATGTCCCTAGACAGAGAGACCAATTTATTTATCATCTCCTCTCTTGCCAAACAGCCCCATTAAAGAATATATGTTCTAAACTGGGCATGGTGGCACACACCTTTAATCCCAGCACTCAGGAGGCAGAGGCAGGCATATCTCTGGTGAGATCAAGGCCAGCCTGGTCTACATAGTTCCAGGCCAGCCGTGGCTACAGGAAAAACTTGTCACAAAACAAAACAAAACACCCCCAAACAAGAATTTATGTTCTAGATGAACACTAGATACTAAGTCTTTCATATCCTCCTTCTCAACAGAAAAACACACATGAAAGTAAATGCTTCCTTTCTTTAACTAGCCCATCAGGGCTTAACCTAATACAGTTTCAGCCCCCCCCCCCATCTCTTTTAAAAGCTGATTTTGAAAATTCACTTAACTATTGGCTAAACTGTGTGTTTTTAATGCCACTTCAATAAATGATTACAACAGGAGAGAGGTTCTGGAAAGAAGCTGAATCCAGACAAAAGTGGGAAACTACTACAAATATACTTCTTTAATTCTATAACAAGCAAAAAGATTTAATCCTACCAGTTCTTCAAACACTATTAAAACTCCCCTGCCCTTAGCCCAGTGAAACCACAGGCTGGGCTAGGAAAAGGCTTGCTGAGCAAGCCATAGACATGCCTCACAAAAGTCACCTGTCCATTTTCTGCCCTTGTCTGCTGTTGCCAACTCTGGAAAGGGAAGGAGGGCTAGGTGTTGGGGAAGGTCCGAACAGAATACCCAGTGCTGTCTTTTCCTATTTTCTTTCCCAGGAACACTCACACTATCCTTTGTAGGTAGGGATAAATCAGGCCTTAATTTAACTATTTATCAGTTTTTTACTCCAGCTGCATTACTTCTGGAACTAACCAAATAACTCAGCATTGGAAAGGTCCTTGTCACATCTCATGTTAACACTAAGGACAGTGGCTTCAGTAAGAACCCATAATTCACTCACCTGTACCGATGGACAAACACACCCCTGAAGATGGCATTCATCATCCCCTCTATTTCTTCTTGATTCTCTTGGAACTAGAAGGAAGGAACAAGGCCAATCTATCCCTCTTGTACCTTGACAGCATAAAGCCACAGAAACAGAAAAGTACAATTGTGCCCACTTCCTATTTATTAAAGGACATGGTGTGAATCCTTGGGTAATCTATGTGACCTTCTAATTCTAGAAATTAATGCCTCAAAGGTTTCTTTGAGCTAGGTAAAAATAATTTCCCTCCTTGGTGTAGTTATTCTATTCAGACCTAACCCATAGTCCCTAGATAACAGTAACTGGGAAAATTGTTGGGGACCCCTGCTGTGTTAAGTCGAAGTCTCTCCATGTCCGGATAGCCCAAGGGGCTCGGCGTTTATGCAGAGACTCCTTTTCTCAGCAGGGCGCCTTCCTACTCTCTTCCTGACTCACCTTTTAAAGTGGCCGCCACAGATGCCCTACCAAAAACATGGCCTCTGGCACAAGAAACTGCCAGGTTTTCCTGTGTGATAATCAGGCAATGTCTGGCAGCCTGGTGGAAGCCCACCACCACAAGTAAATGGGGCATCCTAAAAGCACCTATCAACTAAGGCTTTTGCCACTGCCCCCACAGTATAAATATCCTGGTTTCCCCTTAATAAATCGGAGCTGCATCAGAAGCTGTGTCTGAAGCTGTATCACTGAACCCTGCATCTCTCTGGAGGGGGCTGTCCCTTCGTAAACAATGACTCACGAAGACCCTGCTTTCGCCATTCCCGCACCTCCCCTCATGACCCGGCAGCTGATGGATCTCGAACCCAGAGGGAGTGCCCGGTAGATTGGAATGGAACCCGCCTGAGAGCGCAGCGATCAGTAGAGTCGCCAGCACCCAGTAGTCGCGGAGAGCCTCAGCAACATGGTGCGCAACATGCGTGCACCCCAGCAACGCGGTGCGCGGGACCCGCCCATATCTGGCGCCCAACATGAGAGCCTCTGAACTCCGCGCCAGCCAGCAGCTGGTGCCCCCTGAAACGCAGAATTCATGAGTATCTCTCCCACCAGGAGAGCAACAGAAATCTCTTTTTTTCCTTCATCTCCCATCAGGAGACTAAAAAAGGCGGCTGTGCCTACAAGCCTCCCCACCCGTGGGGCTTGGCAAATCTTTTATTTTCTCTTACGTCTCCCATCAGGAGAATAAAAAGATAGCTGTGCCCCCAAGCCACCCCACCCTTGGGGCCTGGCAAATCTCTTCTAATTTCCTCCTTTTGTTTCCGGTCTAGAGTCTTCGCGTGAGGACGTTAAAGACGAAAAGGCAACTGAAGCTTTCTGGTCAGGGCTACTCCCTGACGTCAGCTGGCCTCTCTGCCCCCTTACGACCTCCGACCGCCTGCACAGGTGTAGACAAAGGACCTTCTATCTAAACATCTTTCTAATATAAAAACCTGGTGACGCAGCGGCCACTTAAAGAGTCCTTAGGACGGCCACCAGTTTCTTAAATCTGCGGGAAGGCTTGTGTTGGGAGCCAAGCAAAATCACCTGAGATCTTGATCTCAGGCACGTTTTCTTGGAAACCATCACTTCACTACTTTCCTATCCTAACACTGCTAGAAAAGTCCCAAAAGTTCTAAGAAATCTTCACGTAAGCCTTGGAGTCAGCTTCTAAGGTAAAACTTCCCTAATCGGTTTTGTCATGCTGCCCCCAGGCACTCAAGCTGCAGCTAAAACCAGTTAAGTGAGAATTTAAATTAACTAGCCCCTGCGGAGCACCTGGGGGCTCAAGGTGGCTCGCACCCGAACAAAAGATTTAAAAAGGCCATTTTTTTTTTCTGTAGACCTTAAAGTCTGCAAGCCAGGCTTGTACCTGTCAGAGTGTTCCAATCCCCTGGTGTCAGGTTACTACAGAAACATTAAGGGCTAGATACTATCTTCCTTTTATAATGGGTAATTCAACATCAAGCCAGAAAAAACTCCGTATTCGTTCCCTTAAAGCCTTACTTAAATCAAGAGGACTTAAGATCTCCCAAAAAGAAAGCTTAAAATTTTGGAATGAAGATTATCAATTTGCGCCCTGGATCCTATCAGCAGACATTTCTGATCCAGAGGTCTGGAACTTTCTTGCGTATCTGGCTCGTAAAAAAGAAATCCAAGAAAGGCATAATTTTCCCCTTTCCTTTTTCCCGATAATGGCAGCCATCCAGCAATGCTTAAAAAACCCACCTAAGATTGAGGAAAGCTTACAAACACCAGAAAATAATAAAGGAGAAGTTTTAAATGATAAAAAAGACTCTAAAAATTGCCCAGTAGCAGATTCAACAGAAGTCAGACAAAACCTACTCATCAGCAAAATTAATCTTTACCCCCCTCTTGCTGACTTAACAAGCCCAGATATTAATGCTCAGACTTCAAGAGCTCCCAAAGATCTTGAGATAAGTTCCCCTCCCCTTACCCCCCTCTTGCTGATTTAACAAGCTCAGATGTTAACGCCCAGACCTCAAAAGCTCCCAAAGATCCTCAGATAAATCCCCCTCCCCCTTCACCTTGGCTGCCACTGCCTGTGGCGCCCGTTCCAGCCATGCCCTACAGCCACAGAGCAACTGTGTAATCTTAGGGATAGTGGAAGTTGCCAGCCTCAATGGCCTCAGGACCCCCAAATCCCACCAGTAGAGGCTTTTCCTGTTAACTTACAAATAACAAGGCAACGCCCACTAGCCTGGTACCCACTCCCAGCAGCGGAACTTAAAGAATTATGCCAGGCTGTCCGTGAAGATGGAATCCATGCTCCATGGACAAAATCTATACTACAAACATTTAATACTAATCTGCTTACCCCCCAGGACTGGAGGGACATCTGTAGATCTACCCTCCCCAGTCCATTATTT